ATGCTGAGAAGGTCAAGGAACACTTTGCTGGATTTGGGGAGGTGGACACGTTCGATGCCGAGTCGGGAACGGTGGTGTACAAGGCAAGGAACAGTGCTGAACAGGCACTGAGGGCTGGTGCTGAGATTCCTGATGTAGGAACTGTGAAGCTTTGTTGGATTCAGCCTCCACCCACTACAGCACCAGCACCTGCTGCAGCTGCCGGTGCTGCTGGGGAAGGTGACGCAGCAGCAGCGTTGAGCACTACCACTGGTGGAGGCGATGAGGAATATGACGAAGACAGGGATTCGAGTTGGAAGCGTTAGATCACCCTCCCTTTTACCCCACAAAAATCCCTTTCATGTGTTGTTCTGTCCACTCAATTGCTTTTTGCTTACAATGCTCCCTCCCCATTGCGGCGAGGGAAGCAACGCTGCTTTTGGTCAGCATCGCTCGACTCTCATACGCCTACTCGGACCAGTGTGTGCGACTGTGTCAGTAGTCGAGCAGTCATCACAACTTGAACAAGATGATGGACAGTCATTCGGCTTCTGCCGCCCAGAAATCGGATGCTGTCGACTTGCAGCCTCCATCTGCATCCGCCAACAACATCCTTGGCGCGGGCTGTGTCAATGAGTCAATGGTTCAAAGTTTTTTTTTCTGCATTAAGAAGGATGGCGGGCAAGTTTGCTATCAATCAAACACTGGCAATGAGGTGGTGGCGGAATTATGACGAGTACATCTCCTCCTTGAGCTTAATGCCCAATTCCTCACGAACGCCTTTAAGAGCCTCGACGTACTGCTTGTATTGGTTCTCGTTTTCAACCTTCTGCTTGATACCTTCGAAAATGCGAACGGCGGTCGAGTAGTCGTTGACACGACGACTGGCACGAAGAGCCGCCTCGATCACTTCGGGCGAGGGGACCAAGTCGTAAGCAAAGCAGTTGTTAAGTCCACGCTGAAGCTCGAAAAGGTCCTCGACAGCGTCAAAGAATCCGACGTATCGGGAGTTGAAGGCGTCGAACGACTCTTCTTCGTGGTGGGCGGCGTAGCCACGGACTACACAGTGAGGTAATGAATGGGGGTGATGCGGATCGACGAGGATTGCGAGTGAGGTTGATGGGGTTGGTTTGACAGCAGCAAAGCGAGGGGAAGAGAGAGAGAGAGAGAGTCAGTAATTGATTCATATGTGAGAAACCTTCAGGCTCAATTATCCGTCGATCCGACCTGCGAAGCGCAGAGCATCCGGAACAGAGCAGCGATATAGTTGTCACGAAGTTGTAGGGCAGCAGTGTCAGTGGCAGAAGCAGTCTTCAGCAAAAGTAGCTTCATTGGATCAATTGGTCGAGGCAAAGCGAAGAATGCCGTCGTAGCTCGGTGAGACGGCAGTTCGTCCTTTGAAGCGAGTCATACTCCAGATTCCGAGATAATAAAGGGTGACTAGCCATAGCGGCGATTATAGGTCTGCGGTTCCACTCAGAATTGCGCTGCTCAGCTGCGATGTTTTGGTGCAGCAACTGTGCCGAGGGTACGCAGCATCGTCGGGAGGGCCGAGTGTTTGAGCGAGTCTCTTGCTGGCTGACGAATGGGCGACAACTTTATCGGCACGTGCCGATGAATGTGTGGTCGGCGGCAGTTCTGCGATGCTGGGCAGGTCATGTAGCACGGGGTCGGAACATTTCCGATATGTGCTGAAGACGCCGGCAGCTCCGACGAGCAGTCGCAAACATTGATCGAGTGATTACAGGCGGACTGCATCAATCATTCTGCTGATCCTGATCCTGACGGTCGATCAATACAATCTGCTGTTCCGATTGCTGCTGATACTGTTACTGCTTGTACACCTGATACTGCTGATATATCAGATAATGCTGCCGGCTCGGCTGGCTCCATTTATATCTACTGCTACGGAGGAAAGGTCGGTCGTATGCGAATATGAAGCTCGAAAACTGCTTCTGGCGAAGCTCAAAACTTACCCTGCTGAGAGAGAGCAACAGGAGCGGCACGGCCGAGAAGGGCAGCACGGGCCGAGGTGCTGACGGCGGCGGTTCGGATGGCTCCGGTAAGGAAGGACATGGCGAAAATGTGTGATGGAAGGGCGATGGTGACGAGGCGACAAGGGTGAGGTGGTGGAGATGTGGATGACGAAAGATGGCAAATGGAATGTCAATTCGCTCCTGTCACTGTTGCCAAATTCGTCAGAAGAAGCGATTAAATCCCAAGCGTGGAGCCCGTGGAGCGTGGATGCGAGGCGATGATGATCCTCTTTCTCGACAGATTCTGATTGCTGCTTTGAGCCCCGCCTAATCCTCATCTACTCTACCACAACGCCTTCTGCTGCCGTGAAAATTCAATCGGAAACGACGAGGAGCAAAGTTGACGCGAAATTTCCAATTGCCTTGATCGGGACCTGCCATAAAAATTCGTAACTGCAGCAAGGAAGAACATCTTGTCTCCCGGCTCACTCCCGTGCTTTCGCGATTTGAAATCCACACTCAAATTCTAAAAGTCCTCCTGATTCGCACGGAAAGAATGACACAGCGACGACCACTTGGAATATCGATCAATTTCAAGGGTTTGAGCCAATACAACTCTCATCGCAGATTGCAAGCCAAAATTGAGCTTGAGAAGAACAAGAACACGCGCGGCGAGCCAGCTGGAAGTAGTGCAGCAGACGTGGAGTGTTGCGCTCGAACCAGCTTTTCAAGTTGTGTCTAAATTCAACAAGCTTGGCCCGCCTTGGCTTCTCGCTGTCGTGTCCATTTCAGAGAGAGAGACACACACAGACACACACACACACATCAGGCACCAACACCTTCCCGAGCTGAGATCGACATTCACCTTCTTCTTGACCTCGTCAACACCATCAACAACACTTCACCCACATTACCTTCGAGCTTTCCCGCATCTCCACCTTACGACCCACTATACGCTGCCTCTAGTCTCTCACTGCAGCCGACAGCGCTCTAACTGGGTCCCACGTCCAGCACCTCTTCGCCATCCGTACATTTCGACAGCATCGTCCTATAAACAGCAAACAGGCAGTCTAGACCGACACCGCCAACATGGTTATCCTCGCAGCTTCCGTCTCCACCCGAGGCGGAAAGCCCGTCATCAGCCGTCAGTTCCGAGACATGCCACGATCCAGAATCGAAGGTCTCCTCGCCTCCTTCCCCAAGCTCATCTCTGCCGGCTCACAGCACACCTCGGTCGAGACAGACGCCGTCCGCTTCGTCTACCAACCTCTTGAAGATCTCTACATGATCCTTATCACAAACAAAAACTCCAATATCTTGCAAGACATCGACACTCTTCATCTCTTCGCCCGCGTCACTTCCGACATCTGCAGGTCCCTCGACGAGACCTCCGTCCTTCGATACAGTTTCGAGCTGCTTGGCGCATTCGACGAGATCGTCTCTTTGGGCTACAGGGAGAACGTAAACCTCACACAGGTCAGGTCCATCCTCGAGATGGAGTCGCACGAGGAAAAGATCCAGGAAATTATCGAGAGGAACAAGGAGATGGAGGCAAAGGAGGAGCTCAAGCGTCGAGCCAAGCAGCTCGAGATGCAACGCAGAGATGCCGCTCGTCGTGGTCAGATGGGCGGCAACTCGGGTGGTTTTGGGTCTTCAGGCGGATACAGTGCCGTTCAGCAACGCTTCGAGCCACCACCTACACAGGCTCCCGTTCAGACTGGCTTCTCTTCCACCTCCACACCTGCCGCCAAGCCATTCAAGGGTAAAGGTATGCAGCTTGGAAAGAAGTCCAAGGGTGCTGACCTTCTTGGTGCTATGGGCGGCGATCTGGCTGCTGCTGCTGCCGCTGCGGATGAAGAGCTCACCGCCGCTGCTAACGCTGCTTCTGCCTCTCTTACTGCTGCTTCTTCCGGTGCTCCTGCTGCGCGTACCGCACCGGCAGCGACACCAGCCGCTATCGACCCACTCGACCTGCTCGACCCGGTCCACCAGGAACCAGTGCATGTCGTCATCAAAGAGCGCATCTCCATCTCGGGCAACCGCGATGGTGGCCTTGACTCGCTCGAAATCAAGGGGGATCTGTTGCTCAAGATCACCGATCCCAGCCTCGCCAAGGTTCGCGTTCAACTCGCACCGCCAGAAGAAGGCAACATTGTGCTTTCAGCTGGTGATCTCCAGTTCAAGACCAATCCACAGGTCGACAAAGCAGCTTGGACATCCGATCGCATCATCGCACCGCGTGACGCCAGGAAGCCCTTCCCAGTCAACCAATCGCTCGGCGTTTTGCGATGGCGTATGGTGACCAAGGACGAAACTGCACTTCCGCTGTCCATCAACTGCTGGCCTTCGCCGAACGGTCAAGGTGGTTGTGATGTCAGTATCGAGTACGAGCTTGAGAATGAAAATTTGGGTGAGCTGCGAAGTGTCATTATTGCCATTCCATTGCCGGAAGGGTCGGTGCCATCGGTTGAGTGCCCTGATGGATCGTGGACGGTCAACGAGGAGACGAACAACCTCGAGTGGAGCTTGGAAAGCATTTCGAGCGCCAACAAGTCCGGAAGTCTCGAGTTTTCCGTTACGGAAGGAGCCGAGAACGTCGACATCTTCTTCCCTGTTGTGGTCGACTTTGTTTGTGAAAAGACGCTCTCCAACGTCAGTGTCGCAGATGTTGTGCTTACAGATACAAGCGCATCGACTGCTTTTTCACAACAGTCCGTGCTTAGTGCCGAGACCTATGTTATCAACTAGTCAGTGCAAGCGTACAGTACATATTCTGCAAGCAACCTGTATACACATGTCACCGCATCCTATTCTATTTGAAGTATTTGACGTGCTTTCGACCGAGTTAGAGGCAAACTAGCTTTACCCTTTCAATCTCCTGTTGAGCTGTTCGGAATGAGAGCGAACGCAATTCTGTAGCCTGTCAAGCCCAATAGATGCATGGGCGAAAGCTACACTGTCTCCATCACCTTCTTGCAAAATGTAGAGTATTGCAACGGCTTATATCTACAAAATTCAGTCCCATAAGAACGTAGTGCACTTCCAGCCTCAATCGATTAACGGTTAAATCACGCCCTTCACACGGGCGAGCCCCCGGTTCGATTCCGGGTTGAGGCACTTTTTTCGCGCTGATATCTTTTGACACCTTCGATTGCGGAAAGGCGAGGGGATTGCCTCTCATTAAATTTCGAACAAGATCGACCAGAAAATGACGGAGTAATGGTAAAAAATGAGGTTTCGGGATGATGGTTTCTGACATCTGTCAGGTACAGCATACCGAACCACACCTCTCTCTCGCTATACCTCCAATCGACCTCAATGACATCTATCCGCCACTTGTCCGCGCATGCCAATATCCAGGTCCCAACCTCCCAGCACACCGGGCCGAAATTCTACACCTCTGACCGACGCTTCAGTGCTCGTTATGCTTGCACGACACCAATGCGACCGAATCGACCCACTTATTCAGCAACCAGCGCTCGCAAGCGACGTTGGGGAGCCCTAGAACCTTTTTTTTTTGGCATAACCAACACTCTAAACACCTCTTTTTCGATCTCAAGACGTTTCTAGCTACCAAGAATCGACCTCCTGATCGCGACGAGCACCTTTACAGCCAGAGGCCCGTGCCTGACTCACGCAGGTCAAATGGATCCGTACCTTGTCCCCACCCAGTCCGCGGCACAATGCTCGCCTTTGACCTTTGACCCCAGACTTGTCGGCTGCTGAGCAGCCCAATTCCATGACGCTATCTGAGCCTCCAAACTATGGAGCTCCAACTTCCCGGCTTCCACCACTCCTGTCCAACACAAACTCAGCTCATTTACCACCGCCGAAAGCATCCTGTTCCTCAAATGCCGCCTACACGTAGCCGACCTGCCGGCAATGTCGATCTTCCCTCCGACCCCACCTGTCAGGCCCCTGCAAACGGCGACGCCAATACGAAAAATGCCGACACTGTCTTGGCTGGTCTTGAAGAGCCCGACCAAAATGACATTGTGCTGATCTATATTGGCCGTCACATGTGGTCCAGCATTCGACCCTCCGAACCTGGCGAGCTGTCACCTCCCCTTGTTGCCTATGAGGAGCTTCCCTTCCCCAAGGGCGACCGAGCCAAGCTGCCCCCCCTGTACTGTCCGCTGGCAGTTCATGGGACGATTCAGCATCAACCGCGAAGAGGACATTGCTCGTGGATCCTTTCGCCTTCAAGTTCGCCGCTTTCTTGTCGCCCAGAACGTCGCCAAGACCGACAGCTCAGTTAACTTCCCGCGTGGGGTTGGCAGAGGTGGTTTCGTGGAAATCACCGTTGGCTCTAGTACCCCCACCGCCCTTGCTCAAGTCAATCTGGTTTTCAGTGGCTCCCCCCTGCAACGCCTTTTTGTCGGCCCGGCGCTCCCCAAAACCGCAATGGTTGTCGAGGTTCTTGGCGTTCCTGCCTCGAATGCTAAAAACGAAACAGCTCGCTACATTGCGCTGCGCCTCCAGCCCTTTGTTAATGTACACGACGTCTGGGTCGCTCAAATCCCCTATGCTAATAACCCTAACCCCTCCTGAAGGCACCAACCGTATGGTGGTTCTCGCTTCTTCAACTGCTGGCAAAGACGGTGGCGTTGACCCCAACAGCGTCCACGCCATCCCCGGTTATATCAAGGTTGGCGGCGCTGAGTGCGAATTGTCCTACATAGGCCGCCTTCCTTGGTGCACCACTTGCCGTTCTGCCGCCGGCCAATACCACACTTTCGACAACTGTCCTCGCCGTCTTTGCTTCAACTGCCGCGCGTCTGGCCACTCGGCGGCTTAATGCACCGCTGAAGCGGTCGCTGTCCCCGTGTCAGCGCAGCAAGCCCAAGGGGAGAGTCGTGGTGCCAACAATCTCAACTATGGGTCGCAGTAATTGCATTCAGCTGTCCAGCACCATCGCGCTCGCTGTGCCTCGCTCAACAATTCCGACCGCATCGCCGCCCTTCACGATCGCTCCAGCAAGCTAGGTAAAGCGGACATTGTCCTCCTGCAGGAGATGCGAGTTTCCTCGCCTCACTCCCTTCCACAACGCAACCCCTTCACTTCCCTTCACCATCCCATCCGACCAACTGCGCACCAAACTGTGCTTGGCAAAGACACCGGCATTCTCCTTCGCAATACAACCTGGCAAATTGAAGACACCGACATTCATGACTATTTTGCCTCGTGTCCGCATTCCTGATGGGGCTCCTGCACTCGGTGATTCCATTCACATGCTTCACATTTGGAGCATACATGTGCCTCTTCAGCACGACGCTCAACAACAGTTTGATAGTGAAGATCTCCCTCACTCTCTCGTCTTGATGCCTCTTCACTTGACAGTCGCACAGCCGCCATTGTTAGCGCAGACTGGAATGCGGTCGATTCGCGAGTGTTAGATGTTTTCCCCTCGACGTCGTCAGCAAAGCAAATACCCTATGGACTGCTCCATCAAGCTGGCCTTGTGGATGCCTTTCGCACCCTCCACCCCACAACCTCCGGTTTCACTCGCGATACCAAGATCCTCAATCGCATTGTTTCTGCCCGTCGCATCGATGGCATTTCCATTACTTCCAACCTCGTTCCTCACCTTAAATCTGTCACAACTCGTCCCAGTCTGTCAGGCCACAGCATCGTTTCAATCCGTCTTGGCACCAGCGGATCTCGAATCGAATTAGGTCCGGAACATGGCGTCTTCATGGTGATGCCCATCTACAACATGGGTTCTCCCTGCGGATCCAACAATTTGCAAACCAGCTGCCACCAAACATCAATCACGCTCCAGTTCCCTCCTTCTTTGCGTTTATTGAACGCCTTCGGTCCACCACAGCTGCAATCTCGACGTCGCTTAGCCAAGCTAGGCAGCGGAGTGATGCACAGCGTCATCAACTTTTCCAGCAAATGACTTCCCTTGACATACGGCGAGGCGATGACACGCGTGCTCTATTCCTCCATCTGCTTGCTCACCTACGACAGCTTGACACTGTCCATGTGCAGAAGTCAGTGTCGGACTGTAACCGCCTACACGAAATCAACATGTTCCGTCCAACAGCCTGGATCATCCCACGCCTTGAAAGTCGCAGCTTCGCAGCCACACCAGAATTTGTTGACAATCAAGACACTCATTCAACGCCTGCAGCGAAACTGCTTGCTATTTACCGGTTCTATACCACCCTCCTCACGCCGAAACCTCGCAGCACCATCACCGAGGAGGCTGCATCGATCTTGCTCGGATCGGTCCAACGTCGCATCAAATCGACTACTCGCCACACTATTGAAGCAACATTCACTGTCGAAGAGCTGAAGGCTGTCCTTGCGCGCTCGCCTGAATCATGAGCGCCTGGGTTGAATGGCCTCACCTATCCACTTTTTCAGGCAACCAGTGACATCTTCTTGCAGCGGCTTTGCGCTCTGGGAAATGCTCTTTTGCGAGACCACCACCTGTCAGAAGGTGAACCAATGCTTCGAGGAGCTCTACTACCAAAAAAAGGTGATCTCTCACAATTGGCTAACTATCTGCCGCTTTCCATTGCTGCCGCCGCCTTCCGCATCCTGGGCGGCGCGGTATCGAACCGCCTTCAACCTGCTGCGGCCAAAGTGGTACATACTGCACAAACCGGTTTCATTGTTGGCCGTTCTTCCTGAACCAATGTAATAACCCTCGCTCTTCTCCAGCACGCTGTCAAAACAAATCACATTGCTGGTCCACTTTGGATCCTCAATCTCGACCAACAGAAGGCGTATGACCGCGTCCGTCACGAATGGCTCATTGACTGCTTGTCAGCCTATGGCTTTGGTCCTCGTTTTCTGATCTACATCTAAGAAATTTATTGCCATCCTTCAGTGCGTCAGTCTTTGGAAGGCTTTCTCACTGATCCCATCCCACTCAAATGCGGTATTCTTCAAGGCGACCCAATGTCGTGCTTCTTTACAACTTCAGTCTCCAGCCCCTTCTCAATTATGCTCGGAATCATCATCACGCTGGTACCACACTCAATTGGGACTTGTCTTCGCCATTCCATGTCTCGTCGCTTGCCTTTTCTGATGACATCCTCCTTATCGTCAACAATCGCAATGATCTGGCGAGCTTTGTCGACTCTTTGGATCTTTACCAACTGGCCTCTAAGGCCAAGGTCAATGCGGAGAAGTCGCAAGCTTTTCTCTTCTCGCAACAGCATTTGTCAAGAAATGGATCACACGGGGAACTTTCTCAAACAGAGCCAAGGAACTTTGTCGTTCATCAAATGAGCACAACATCGACCACAAACGCTACGACAACCTAAGCAAGATATCGCGACTTGATACACCACTCATGACCAACTCGACCATGTTTTGACCCTGCAGACTCATTACCGGCTCAAACTCCTTGCCCTACACGCACACATCAACCGACAGCAGGAGCATATATACTTCTGACATTGCTTTGTACTTAGTTCCCTTTTCAATGCTAACGATTCGACACTTGCTTGACCGCCCCTGATTGTGTTTTCCTCAACAGCACCATGTTGGCCCAAGTCGACTATCGCGACAGGCATCGGCATACCGGCTATCCGATACCCGACATAATTGCCCTGTCATGTTTCAGCATCATCCATTGAGTCATACACGCATACACAGAACCTTGGAAGGTATATATGCATTAGTTATCTTCTTGTACTTAGTCTATGACCATCATCGCAATCGCTACTTGTGATCAATGCTATTTGCCGCACGTCCTACAACAAAATTGATTAGGAAATGGAGGAGCAATGGTCAGATCGATTTTTTTAGTATGATGGTTTTGGATGCTTGTCAGATATCGCGTACTGAACTCGTAACATCACTTCCTACAGCGATCGCTCCGTTATTGCTGCCTACCTCTTTCGAGCAAGTAGATGAACGGCGGATTTCCTTCAGAGTATGAGCCGCGCACGGAAGGATGGTGGCATCTTGAGGTCTGGCCAGCCAAGAACGATACTACAGAGGTTGGTGTAGGTACGCCCACGCCCCTGCCCTCAGGTTTCGTAAGCGTGTGCATGATGGAGCGCCAGACTTGAGGCTGGATAAACTCACACTCGACACACCTGCCGCACGTGATTAAATCACGTGCCCATCTGAGAAGCGCGTGACGTGGCCCTGAG